CCCCTCGTTGCTGTGTGTCCCCGCGCTGCCCCAACACAGGCAGGGGCGGTGGGGTGACCCCGGGGTGCCGATGGGGTCCGTCTCGGTGCTGCCCACCGATGCCGACGTGCGCGGGCAGGGGACCCTGGGGCGGTGTTGGGGGCACCTCGTGGGATTTGGGTGGGTCGTGGCCCCGTGGTCCAGCTTCCCCAGTGCCTTTCTGCTCCCTCCCCAGCTACCTGAACGACCTGGAGAGGATAGCCCGCGCCGACTACATCCCCACCCAGCAGGACGTGCTGCGCACCAGGGTGAAGACCACCGGCATCGTAGAGACCCACTTCACCTTCAAGGACCTGCACTTCAAGTATGTCTGAGCCTTTCCCTTTTGCCTTTTCCAAGGCACAAAAAAACCCCCAAAACCACCTCCCTTCCTCCCCGGGCTGGGACGGATCCTGCTTGCACGCTGCGGGCACTGAGGCCCCCCGCCCCGGCTTTGCTCATGGCGGGAGCTGCTGCCTCGGAGAGAGCGGAAACCCCGAAATAGCTGGAGCTGCCTCAAAAACGCCTCGCAGGGCTCAGCCCGGGGGCGGATCCAGCCTCTGGCGAGGAGGGAAGGGGGAAGGCGTCTCCGGGTGCCGTGACGCAGTTTCCGCCACGGGAAGGGCGCTGGGTGGAAGCTTGAGCGGGGGGGGGGTCTCGGGGTCGGGCACCGGCGCTGTTGCCCGCTGCCATCCCGGCATCATTTTCCGTGGAAAACCCGTGGGAAATAGTCAGGGCTGTGGTTTCCAAGGCGAAAAGCTGGCATGGGGGCACATCCCGGGGGATTTAGTCACTTTGCAATGGGGCTGCTGGCAGAAAGATCTGCTGGGCTCTTCGCAGGGACCCCTGTGCCACGGTGGTGCCGTCATCAGGGTGGTGCTTTGGGGGTGGCAGCGAGGATGGTCCGGGAGAGGGGAAACACAGCAGTGAGGACACCTCCCTGCCGGCTGGGGGGTTGGTGGTGGACATGGGGCTGTTCTCCGTGGAGACAGGGCATCCTCCGCTGCCTGCAGCAGGAGAGGCGCGCGGCGCCCGGGGATCATCCCGCTGAACCCTCCTGCTGCCCGTGATGCCGCTGAGCCCTCGGCCGAGCACCAGTGGCTCCCCTTGATCCGAGGTCTCCGGCAAAACCCTGCAGTGCCCGCTCTGCAGCGGGTGTCCGAGACAGCATCTCCTGGTGCATCTCTCCAGGAGAGCGTCGCGCTGGCGCAGTCTGGGAAAAGGCGACCTGATCCTGCCCTGACTCACGGTGGGGATTTGCTCCGAGTGGGGAAATAAGCCCGGATGCCACCTGGGATGGGCAGCGGGTGCTGGGGCACATCCGCGGCAGCAGCAAAACCCCCGGGGCAGAGGCGCTGCTCACCCCAACGCCTGTACTTGGTGCAGCTCCTGCTCTGGGCAGCTGGGGAAACTGAGGCAGGGAACGGGGTGAGGGCGGTGGGGCCGGGAGCTGCTGCCCACCGCCGTGCTGCCTCCCTGCCCAGGATGTTCGACGTGGGCGGCCAGCGCTCAGAGCGGAAGAAGTGGATCCACTGCTTCGAGGGGGTGACGGCCATCATTTTCTGCGTGGCCCTGAGCGCCTACGACCTGGTGCTGGCTGAAGACGAGGAGATGGTGAGCTGGCGGGGGGGATGAAGCCGGTGCCATGAGCCGTCCCCTCCTTGGGGGGGGCGCCGGGGGGGCAGACCCTCTTCTGCTGCATCCCTTCTTCTGATGGCCATTAGTGCCCTGGGCCAGTGTGGCCCAAGCCTTGCAGGGCATTCAGCATCCCCTGCCAGGGCAGGCAGGAACCGGGGGGTGCGGGGGGCAGCAGCGGGGTGGGCTCTGCCTGGGGGGTCTCTGCCTGGCTCAGGCTGCCATCTCCCCTACCAGAACCGCATGCACGAGAGCATGAAGCTGTTCGACAGCATCTGCAACAACAAGTGGTTCACGGACACGTCCATCATCCTCTTCCTCAACAAGAAGGACCTCTTTGAGGAGAAGATCGTGCACAGCGCCCTGACCATTTGCTTCCCTGAGTACACAGGTACCGCGGGGTCCCTCGGTGCCCCCCCACCCCCGGTTCCCCTGGCAGGAGGAGCGGGCAGTGCCTTGCGCAGGCAACGTAGCAGGAGATGCTGGGGGTGGACATAATGGGTCTCCTGTGCCCAGGGAGCGGTGTGTTGGGGCAGGAGGTGGGGTGCAGTGGTGTTTGGGGTGCCCTAAGGGATGGGGGGGGACAGGACACAAGGGGCAGCAGCCCTCGGGGGGGTTAGTTGAGGGCCAGTGTGCCTGGGGAGCATCAACTGGGCATCGGAGTGGTGGCTGCAGTAGTGTGGGGAGCCAAACCGAGCCCAAACCCCTTTGGTGCCGGTGGCAGGGGGGGTGCAGGTGTCCTCGGCCGACTGCGGGGGAGTCCAGTGTCTCCTCCTCGCCAGGGGCCAACAAGTATGACGAGGCGGCCGCCTACATCCAGAGCAAGTTTGAGGACCTGAACAAGCGGAAGGACACCAAGGAGATCTACACCCACTTCACCTGCGCCACCGACACCAAGAACGTGCAGTTTGTCTTTGATGCCGTCACTGACGTTATCATCAAAAACAACCTGAAGGACTGCGGGCTCTTCTGAGGGCCGGCGCTGCCCAGGTGGGTGGTGGCCCCGGGGGTGGCCCCCAAATGGGTGGTCACAGAGCACCCTCTGGGGATGGGACGGGCCCTGTCCCTGTCCCCAGACCCCACCTGCTGACTGCCCCCTCTCTCCTAGGACCCCCGGCCACGCCGGCGAAGGAAGGACCATGCCACCGCTCCACTCCTGCTTCTCTTCGGATTCATCCCTCCGCCCCCACCCCATAAAGAGACTTTTTGGGTGCCAGCATGGCGGCAGGGCCCGTGTCCCCCCCTGCTGCC